TGTGTGTGTGTGTGTGTGCCTTCACCAAAAGGTATGAAAAAGAAAAAGCTAATGTGGATCTGGAGGGTTACTAGAAGCACCTGGCTCTAGAACCTGGCTGTGGGATTCTTGTTTTCAATAGTTCAACGTGTGGATACTAGTTTGTGGGATAACAGGAACAGCACCACACAGGGGACTGGCAGAGCTTATCGCGCGAGACAACCACATCAATTGCATGCAAGCCAACGCCACGTGCACTTGATTGAAATCAAGTACTGTGAGGACACAAGGCCACAACATCAGTTAGACGCTGCAAAGCAGCAGCATGCGGACCTCTGCAAAAAAATTAGTGCTAGAACTGTTACTGTTCATCCTATTCTCCTTGGTGTTGGTGGAACTTGTTATACAGAGCATACCATACATAGCCAGCTCAAACAGCTAGGTCTGGATCACCAATGTGCTCTTAAGCTTGCTCAAAATCTTCATGCCCATTCTGTTCAGTATGCCCATGAACTGGTTACCACAAGACGTGCAATTGAAAACAAGATCACCTCTCACAGCCAAGTTCTAGAGCCTAGTGCTTCTAGAAACCCTCCAGATCCTCACTAGCCTTTTTAGACTTGTATTGTGGTGGAGGGGACTCACGGTTCTTCTGAGCCAATGTGTCTCCTCTTCCTCAATTGATGTAGGGAGATGTTTCTCTGCCTACGTAGTTTTTCTTTTCTTTTCTTTTCTTTTCTGTGGGCATATTGAACAGAATGGGCATGAAGTTGTTCAGCAAGCTTCATGGCACGCTGGTGATCCAATCCTAGATGTTTGAATTGCTTCAGGATATGCTCAGCGTAAACAGTTCAACCTACACCCAGGAGAATAGGGTGAAGTGTAACAGCTTTCGCGTTCACAAATTTACAAAGGTCTGCATGCTGCTGCTTTGCTGCGTTGGACTGATGCTCTGGCCTTGTGTCTTTACAGAACTTGATTTCTATTAGGTGCAAAGTTCATGGGGTTGCCACATGCGGCTTGTTCTGGTGGTCCTCCGTGGGGAGCTGCGCAAAGCGTGATGGGAATGGGTAGGAGAAACATCGTTAGAAGTATGATTGGCATTAAAAGGGGTGATCAAAACAGCATCTGGTCGACTGGAGTTGAGTCATTTCCTCTGTGGAAGGTTACAAGGGAAGAAGTAAGCAGGTAAAGTTCTGTTTGAGGCAGTGTTGTGTAGGGAGTTGGAGGTCGCATTGGGCAAGCTTAGAGTCGCTCACTATGTCTGTGTAGACTAGGCCCGCCCCTACAGGGCATTTGCTGAGGGCTTTCGTAAGCATTCTGCCTGCAATGTTATGGCGTTCAGTTCTCATGTTGGAGATGATATGGTTTTGGCAGCCTGAGAGCATGTGTAGTGCGCTGTCCAAATGATGGCAGCCTGGGAGGGAGCAAGATGGATCAGTAGACCTTTTAAAACGTACTGCATGTTTTTTGTTGTAGAGGGTGCCTGTGCGGTGCTGCAGGATGGTACGCTTCATGGGTACAAAAATGTTGGGCATATTTTTGAAGGCACTGCTGATTTTTTTATCTACTTGCGGTAATAAGTTCTAAAAGTAAAGGTAGTAACCTGTTTTGGCATTGGCACATCCAAGCTTGTCTGTAGAATGCATGTGGGATATGAGAGCATCTTGAAGATTGGGGAGATAGGTGAGCTTGTGGGTGTGTGGTGGACTTGTAGATGTGCCTGCAGCATGCACTCTTTCTTCCTTGACTAACCAGAAAATATTTGTAAATGGATTTCCACCAGGACCTGCACCAGGGATCTCCGTGTCTGCCATATAGTTCTGGGCTTGCTTTGCCTGATGCTTTGCAATGGCATCTGCATGTTCATTTCCAGCCATGCCAGCATGGGACTTCACTTTGTAAGTTCGAATTTTGGTATGGAAGTCTCTAATGAGCGTTGAAATCATTTTAAGGACGCCTCCTTGGATATGCCTCAAATATCTTTCAGGATAGAGGAGCTGTTTACCTATTTGATTGAAAGAGGTGAGGCTGTCTGATGCAATATCTGCATGTTTGGTGATGATAGCAGCAGCAATTGCTACTAATTCAGCTCTAGTGATGGTTTTAGTAATCTCGGCACTGTTTGGTTCATAGTTCTTGCTGTCAGTGGACAGGCAGTAGACGCCTGCTCCAATTTCTTGCTTACCGGTATGGACAAGGCAGCTGCCATCTGTGTATGCCCATGTCCTCCAGTCGGCAACTTTGAGAGTTAGGAGTACTGGATTGGCTGGGCACTAAGTCTGTATCTTGGACACTCATGTGTGAATTTCTAGGGTGCTTGGAGATGTGTTGTTTGCCAAATGAGAGGCGTTCTAGTTTATTGAAACCTGGCATGTGAGCATGCATGGGATTTAGGGCAGGGTGGCTGCTGACGCTCTTGAGCTTCCACTCTGTGGCTTCTTTCAAATCTCCCTTCAGGTCCTGTAGCTAGTCTTTGTTATGGTTGTTAAGATGGATTCGAGCTGCAGAGTTCCAAACAACAAAGAAACGAAGGTCCCAGGCATGCTTAGGTAAAGGTATCTCTCTATTATGGCAGGATTGAGGGACACTGTAACCAATTTTTTCGCGAGGTATGGCTCCAACTTCGTAACAGAGGTGGGGGTAGGCAGTGAAAAGTTTGGAGTAGGGGTTGGTTATCATGCTCTTATTCCAAGCCGGAAGGAACAAGAATGTAGCAGTGGCCTCTGTGATGAGAATGGCAGAGTAAATGGCATGTTGCAAAACTTGGGTCATCATTCCCTCGTCATAAATGGGATGGCACACTGAGAAGCCAGAGAATTTGGATGAGAAGGCATTATGCATGGCACCAAAAAGAGTGTCTCGGGAGTCCGCACTCCAATAATTCTGGTATTGTGGGTTGTGGTCTAGTGGGGAGACCAGTTTTTCTTGGGTTACCAAAGCCCATTTTTGAAAGGCAGTATGAATGTGAGTTGGAAGGGCTCGTGAAAAAAAGTCTTTGATCTTCTTGCTAGAGTACTTTCTTTCAAGCATGGATTTACGGGAAAGGAGTCCTTGCAGCTCAGTAGCAAAGTTGCCTGGAGCTGGTGTTATTTTCTCGTGCATGCCAGCAAGCTTGGCCCCATAAAAAGCCATGTA